ATAGAAAACTCCACAGTCCTTCAACGACAACCCATGGCAATGCGTTGAAGATAGAGTTTAGAAGCAAACAAGGAACCAGCAAGGTTGAATTTGTCATCATTGACGAGAAAGGTAACTGTTCAAGTATTCGGGAGGAAATCTGAATRTTCATATTTCGCACCAATTTTGCATTGCATTTTATTGCATTAAAACATTTTATATTTAYAAAACCGACTAAGAAGTTAAAACCAAACGATTGTGAAGAACGCGTACCGTTAAAGTGCCAGGCATTAGCATTTGACATGGAAAAGCTTTACAACTTCAAGAAGGCGCACTCAAACTCCACCCCCCCCCCCCCCCCCCCCCCCCCCCCCCCCATGGTTATTCACCCCATAAAAGGGTGATAGGCACTTTAACAAGTTTCTTGAAGTCGTAATGGAAAATGGAATTACAAGTTCTTTGAATGTTAGGGTATGTTTGTTCATTCCTTGTATATTTCACAGAAGGTTATTATGGAGGAATTACCGAAAGTAGTTGTAAGCAGAAAATATGCAGCTTACTCTTTGCTCCCCACAAATGCTTGCCCATAACTTTGTTGTCAAAATGTAAATTATGATTTGCAAAAAAAATGTTGTGTTTGAACACAGACAACCCATGCCACGATTTATTGAGTTTACTAAAACATTTAATGACATACATTTTGTTCGAGAGCTAGCGGTCAAATATTCCTATTTCTTTCCCTCTTTATTTACCCCACAGAAACGACACAGCGTGTCTCTCAAAGGAAAGGATACGGCCATTTCCATTTATTTAATGTTAATAAACAAAAACTAAATCATGGCTTGAAGAACCGGGTGATTCTAATAGTAATATCGAACAAATCTTGCTTTCCTTAACCAACAAGCATTTTTTTTTTCTTCTTTTGTTCATTTTCTTGTTTAATCAAGCCTGTTTGGGGCTTTTTACTATTGATTACAGCTACAAGATCTGTGTTGCTGTCAAACTGTACGTTTCTCCATAATGGCAAGAGTGGGGTAAACATAGAGAATTTTGCAGGCCATCTTCAAATGACCAACAGCAAAATGAACCAAAATGCCCTTGACGGTGTTAACATCAAAGGATTGATTGGAAAACTAGAGCTAAATGATCTTGATGTTGTGAATAATGGTCAACTTGGTCTGGTACTGGAAAAAGTCTCCGGTAAAATTGTTTTAGAGAGCTTTAACATAAGTCACAATAAGCAGGATGGAGTTAAGGTCTACCAAGGAACAGGATTCCTGATGATGAAAAAAGGAGCGATTAAAGAAAATAATGCTCAAGGTATTTATATCGGATCTCTAAGAGAAGTTCAGTTGAATTTGACAAGCTTGAAAATTTCTATGAACAAGGAAACAGGCCTAACTTTGGAGAAGACATCAAATGGATTAATAATGCTAACAGACGTCACAACAACTTTAAATTCCAAGTATGGTGCGTATTTTACACAATGTTCATCTCCGGTGGCCATTGAAAGAAGTTCCGCAAATGCGAATAGTGGCCATGGATTCTATTTTCAAAGGCAAGGTGGCTCTGTTAAGATTTCGGATTTCACTGCATCTCTAAACCAGGAAAGCGGACTTCGTGTTGATGATGGCATATCTCGCTTGTTTATCGATCATGGTATCCTAAAAAAAAATAACAAGCATGGGTTTTACTTGAACAATCACGGCGGAGAGATTTTATTGGTCAACGTAAGCCTCAACGACAACAAAGAAAGAGCAATAAATGTGTATGAGAATTCACAAGGAAACCGCATA